TTTGTGATTACGGTTTGAAAAATTCATTAAAATTCAGCAATAATTTGATGTTTTCAAGCATTGTCAATTCAATATATTTCTCACCGTAAAAAATACACTAAAATATTTTATACTTATGTTTGGTCCAAGATGAAAAAAAAAAAAACTAAACAAAATTCCGAACATTTTAAAAAGGATTAAAAATAAAATTTCATCAAATAATTATTTTCTCTTAATAATAACATAAGCTTATTGACGATAAAACTTTGTTTTTATTAAATTTGTTCATTTTTTTTCATTATGATAGATTTAGTATTTATCGAATCAGGGGAGGTAACTAATGTAATACATAAAATACACAGCAATATACAATATAAAATACTTTACTGAGCAGTTAATTTATCAGCGACTTGCAGCTTCGTATGCTCTTGGTCTATTAATGTAATTGCACAATTCTCATGTGATCCTGCAAGTCGCGGATACAATAAAAGGTAAGTAAAGTAAGGTATATATATATATATATATATATATATATATATATATATATATATATATATATATATGTATGTGTGTGTGTGTGTGTGTGTGTGTGTCTGTTTCTGTGTGCGCGTGACGTCTGTTTCCATCTATCTTAGATATGTATTTGTGTGTATATGCGTGTTTGTCTCGTTTTCAAAATCTTCAAATATGACGAGCCTCGAATTTTCGAGGGCCCCACATTACACAGTTTTAATGCGGCCTAGTGAAGTGGATCCTTTAAAGTCTATCAATATTAATGTCTACATCTCGGAGGTACTGCATCTTTAACTATTCATCATTTCAGTAACATAATATTGAGACTATTAAATATCTTTTCAAATATTTCGAGAGAATCATTTACTTCATATTTCTTTCGAGATTTGTCTATCATATTTTGGTAGAATTTAAATACCTACCTCTTCTTATAAGCTCTATCCCTATGCTAGAAAATAAGTTAGGATTTAATATTTCGGTGGACGTGTTTTTTTTTGTAAATTTAGGACGCTTTTAGGTTGCTACTAGCACTGCATGAGATTAATCTGGCTCTTGTTAAATCTGGTTATACAGTATATTCCAGTAAATTATTGTGTTCGCTACTTTTCGCTGTTTCAAATTGTCTGATGGTAATACAGAATAAGCAAAAAATTTACAACACACCCTGGGGAATAAACCAGGTATAAATTGAGCCAATATTATATCGGCCTTAAAAAAGCGTGTATTTCTCATGTAATGATTGCCATTGTCATGTAAAATTCTTCTTATTGCATACAGATTTTGCCACTGAAAACCCCTTTTCGCCTTCTTGGTCTAATGTTTTCTACTGACATGAAGACGATTTAATAGAGCGAATCAACTGCTAGCTCTACTGCTAGGAAAGTTGGTTCAGTGTATCGAACCAATCAAATCTCTCGTTACAATCGAACTGGAACATTTATAAATCTCCAAAGCGTCCGTGCATTGAGTATTGCTGTCATATTTGGTCGGATACCCCAGCTTTATATCTCGAGATTCGTGATATAATTAAAAAATAATCTGTAACGTAATCATTCCTTAACAGGTATCTCGACGATATCATTCAAAGAAATAATGTAATCATTCCTGAACAGGCATCTCGACTATGTAATTCAAAGAAATAATATAATCATTACTGAACAGGCATCTCGAATATGTAATTCAAAGAAGTAATGTAATCATTCCTGAACAGGCATCTCGACTATGTAATTCAAAGTAATAAAGTAATCATTCCTGAACAGGCATCTTGACTATTTAATTCAAAGAAGTAATGTAATCATTCCTGAACAGGCTTCTTGATTATGTAATTCAAAGTAATAATGTAATCATTCCTGAACAGGCATCTCGACTATGTGATTAAAAGAAGTAATGTAATCAATCATGAAGAGACATCTCGACTAAGTAATTAAAAGAAGTAATGTAATCATTCCTGTACAGGTATCCCGACTTCAGTAACATTCAAAATGACCTGACGTGGTTTCTCTCCGTCTTTTCTACAAATATTTTCATGACAATTCTACTGATAAAACCTTGTTCTTTTATCGTGATTTGCCCTCGAAAAAGTTTTCTCATTCTATTTCACTTATAGTAACTCCTTGCCTCTTAGTGGCATTATCACCTCTCATTGGGTGAAAAGATTGATAAAAAAATATTTTTGTCCTTACGCGTTCTATAATGTTTAAATTTTGATCGATTTCTGCTAATATTGACATCCCTTTTTCTGACATCCCTCGCACATCAGCCTCAGTTTGTTCATATATATTTTTTTCTGTTTATAGAACAAGTATGCCAGTTTATGAATCGAAGAAGAAAATGCCCTTAAGAAAGGCATGAACCTGTTGCTCCTTTTCTATCGCTATATATCTTAACAAATGATTTGTTATGCCAATGTTATTCCACGATGATAGACAACGACAATTTTAGTAGAATAAAAACATAGGTACTTATTTTGTCATATGAAATACATACATACATACATACATACATATATATATATATATATATATATATATATATATATATATATATCGATTAAGAGTTGGGTAATGGAATTGAAGCATTCCAGTCGTTTTTGTTGCATTTACTTACGTGTAATTACCCTTGTGAAAAGATGGACTCTTTTTTACCCACGCCCAGCTATTGTTAAATAGAAAGCATCGACTGTATTCTAAAGCATATGTCTGGGTTAAATAGACTCACGAAGCTGCAATTATCCAAGCGTGGTGACTACTGTGGACGTTAGAAATGCTGTAGGGTTAAGTATTTACGTGAAGATACGTGTTCGATATGAAAACAAAGATGGAATCATATAAAAACTTGAGTTGCTGCTACGAATGTTTATCACTATTATGGTGACTGCCGTCAAACAAAGTTTTCTGTGTTTTTTTTTTACTTTTGTCAGAACTACGCTAGTTTAACTGTGGTTAAAATGGTCGAGCTTAAGTCAGCTTTACGCTGATTTGGAACGACCAATTAATTACATCGTGTGTAGGACTGTCTACACACGTCCGAACGATGTAGTTGGAAAATGCAAAAGAGTTCAGTCGTCAGTGAACTGGGGTAACTAACATTC